TAATGCAGCAACTACACCAGTGATGGGCCTCCTAATGCTTCTGAATGCTCCTGTCTAGCTTCAGAGACAGCTGTAACAACTCAGAGCACACTAGCTCTGTCACTTATCAAGCTGGCTGCATGCAAGCCCAAGAACAGCTGAAGAGTTACTCTCCTGATTTCCCTCAAATACCATCCAATTCCCTCCTCTCACAAAGTAGCCGTCCCTCCCTGTTTCTCTTGGATGCACCACCTTGGCGTTGGTTGCGGGGCTGCCAGCAGGGGTTGGCCATTGCCACCCTCTGGAGACACCTGAGGCATAACACTGGAGGAGCAGGCAGCCAGTGATTTCCCCACCTTCCCTGGGGTAGTGGGGCTCAGATTTTGGACTTCAGCTCTGGGAAAGCAGGGCAGCAGGCTCTGACTGCGGGGCTTCGGGCTCCACCCCAGGGCTCCAGCTGCACAGCTTCAGGCTCCATCCCCCGTCCATGGGGCTTTGGGATCTGGTCACAGGGCTTCAGATTCCAGCCCCCTGCTGCCTCCCCCAGCCACCCACCCACACACCCCATTGCCCCTAATACCCCCCCATCCAGGACTTAATTTGTCCCAAGGCATGCCAGGGCTGAGTAAGTCTGCTGTGAAAAATGATACTTGTTTGTTACTATCACTTTTCGCAACAGACTTACTAGCTAGCAATAAATAAATTACAATAATTTGGACGTGTATATGTGCATATTTATTTGTTTTTCCTAAAGCTAATCAAGTATTTTAGGAAAAAAAATATGAGAGTGGCCACCACCAAGAATTGGTGGCCGCACTCTGAGGCCACCAAAAATTTGTCCTGAGAACTAATCTTAGAACACTGCTAGCACCACAGCAAGGATGCTTGGGCCAAGATGACTAGCGCTGGAGTGCCAAAGTAGTGCAGAGTATCAGAAAGCAGGTGCCAAAGTGCTTTGGGTACTTTGGTGACTCAGCAAAGACCTCAAAAATATAGCTAACAGAGCAGATTTGACAGGAAAGCAGAGAGGAAATATGAAGATAAATACCTGATATGTTACTGGAAACCAGGCTAGAACTGGAGCAATGGACAGTCAGGTGCTGCCTCCAACAGGGAGTTTCTTTTATAACTGTTGTCAAGAAGGAACTGGCTTGGAATGTTCCAAGGGCAGCATTTATATTCTGCATTGGGTAGCAATTGCACCGGGGACCCTAGCTCATACTCTACCTCTCTATTGCTGCCCTCAAGGATAAAAAGGAGAGGTAACGCACAAGTTTCCCAGTCTTGCATTAAGAAGTTAAGACCCAGAAGTGAAAAATCTCACACAGATAGTACCTTTAGAGAAATTACTTTCAACAGATTAGAGCCTGAACTCCAGGATCATAATATCATCAGGAGGAAAGACTGTACTATGTGATCTCTCACAAAATGGGAGTCTCATTTACCATAACAGCACAAAGACAGGAGACCAAGAGAAACAGGAAGTATATAGGTTAGTATAATCATGTGGGACCCCTCTGAATAGCTATTTTCTATAATACATCAAGTTTAGGTGCTATATCTGAGCAACAAGATTTATGCAGTTTATTTCACTTACATATTACAAAGCACATAGATCTATACTATAACAATTAAAATAAAATATCAAAATTAAAATCTTTGTAATAGTTTTTTCCCCCCAATACAACCATCACAAATCTAAACATCTTAAATACTTCAGCTTGCTTCTTCCACGAACACCCAAGGGTGAAAAAAAATTGCATTAACAGCAGGCCCCAAAAGTTAAAGCCAGGCTTCTTGTGGAAGAACAAAGATTTCCAGATTTGAAGTCCCTTTCTTAGAAAATGCCCACCAGAAGCCCATTCCCACACCTATAAATATCAAACGGTGACAGACAAATTTCAAGTTAATCAGATTCCAAACCATTTAGAATTTTATATCTTAATCCAACACCTTGAACTTCACCCTGAGACTAATCGGCAGTTAATGACGATCACAGAGCACAGGTATTATGCAGTCCTGGTATGAAATATTAAGATGTGCTAACACATTCAATACTAACCTAAGTTATGGATGGTAGGAAGATGTAGACATATAGAGAGGACAATAGTCTAGCCTAAAGGTGACAGATATGAATAACTGTAGCAAATTATTCATCTGGGAAAAAAACACCATTCCACTTGTCTCATTGGGCCAATATAGAAGAGTGTTTCAGACCACAGTTGCTACGTTAGCATCCATGAGCCATCCAGGATCTATAAAAATCCCTGAATTATAAATCTATGCTACAAACAGCACCATGCACCCTCGGGGTGTCACTATAGCCTTTGCCAATCCTTCCAATTGCTTAACAACCTACAAGTACTATTTCAGTCTCCTCTGGATTGAACCTCAGCCAGCTCTCATTGAGATACCAAGTAATTTGTTCCAATAGGATCAGATGAGGAAAAAAAACAAACAAACAGAGCTTTTGCTTAACACACTAAAAAACACAATGGCATGTATTTCCTTCCTAACCATTAGAATAACTACATATATTAATTGGTCAAAAGGGAGTAAAACAGAACCTTGTAGAATCCCATGACATTTCTCTCAGGGAAGGTGAGCAACTGTCCAAAAGTACTGACCTCTGAGAATTCTCATTATGAAAGAAGTTGAGCCATTTGCTAAGGACTGCAAATCAGTCAACACCACTTTATGATCAAGTGTTTAAAACAACAGTTCTAAAAGAATAAGTACACACTTTATCCTTGTTCATTATTAGTAGGAGAGATCAATTTCTGCAATACCATTTGTCCCACACCCAGGTCTAAAACCTGAGTGATGGGGTGGTCCCAAAAATCTGAGAACTCCAGATACTATAAGTTGCCATGCTACAACCTTGTCAACAAAATTTCCTTTGATAAGACACACCAAACCTAGCCAACATAAAAATAAGACTCAATATGCAACTGAAAGAGCATAAAACAAAAGAAAAAAAAATCAAGCTTACTTGTTTCTCTGACACTGGTAGCTCTTTCCAAGCATATGCAATTTTTTTTGCTATCTCCAAAATGCTCACATCTGTGAAACAGAAGAAAATTTTTAACTTCTTAGTTTACAAGAGAGTAAGAAAACTGAACCCGTTTTAATGTTTAAAATGTTTTTTGTTTTCCCCAGGAAAGACTTTGCTACTGGTATTTTTCTGCCACATACATTCTTTTTCCATAAAACCTGTCCTAATGTGCCAGTACAAGAAATTGGGAACAGCAGGTGAATAAGAGAGTCTTTTGTTTTATTCCTAAAAGGAAAGATTAAATGTCACTATTTCAGAAACAGGCATTTTTTTAATGTGACCTACACAGAATTTTTTAGAAGTTGGGCTTATATTTCTTTTTTCTTCTTTACACTGCATATACAGAGAGTTTTTTGTTTGTTTGTTTTTTTAAAGTTTCTGCTTGTTTTTGTTTTTTACTTAGAAATACCAGGAAAAAGTCAAGTCTCAACTTTCCTCGTTTTGCCAGAGGATCTGCTGGAATAGACCAGGTACAGGTTCAGTTTTACACCTTAACTTAATGAGAAGTGGTGTTGAATATTCAAATGGCAGGTACTTCATCTAAAATGTCAATCATTGAAATTAAATAAGTTAACAATCCCCAATTTCCTCCAAACAATGGTTTAGAGACTCTGCCTAAAATGCCTTTCCCTTCTCAATTAGCTTTCACTCCTTACTTCTGTAATATCATTTCACAAATTCTTCGATCAGAAAGTTTTTTCAGGTCAAACAGGACTTGAACTTGTAAAATAGAAGCAGTTAAGATTTTTGTTGACAAAAATCCTTCAAGGGTTTCTTTACACATCCTAGTGAGGGAAAGGGCACAGGCTCAATTCCTCCCCCCCAACACACTTTCCAAAAATGCCAGTTCCGCTTTTCCATTATTGACATGACTGAACCTAAGCATTCAGGCTCAAAAATATAGGAAGACAAGACAGACAGCCTCTCCTTTCAACTCCACTCAACAATGCCACATTTTACCATGGACTATTAGTTTTTAGGAGAAAAGAAGGATAACTTTATCAAGATGAAGAACACTAATACTTTATCAGGTCTACAACAAACTTTTTGTGCCCCTGGGATGGAATATACTAATTTGTAGACTAAGGCTTTGTCTACACTACCAAGTTTTGTGAACAAAACTTATGTTGACACCCAAAGGTCGACAAAACAAAAAACGCGAAAGGGTGTTCACACTTGCTTCCTCTGTCGACAGATAACATCCACATTGTGGGCACCATCATCGACAGCATGAGCAATGCACTGTGGGTATGTATCCCACAGTGCAGTGTTGTGGGACGGCAGAGCTGATCGCTGAGCATCTTGGGAGGATTCCCTCCATGTTTTCCCACAGCCTCCTCAGCTGCCGGGAGTGGCATCATGAGTAACTCTGTGAGATCTCTGTGCTGAGGAATGTCAAAGCAGGGGCTGCTGTGTTCCTAGTGCAGGGCAGAGCAGGAGCATGCCAATGATTTCTTCCTTGTTCCCAAAAGGGAGCAGCACACTCAGCTGTCAGATACTTCCCCAGCAATTCTGAAAGGGGAGTGTTGCATGGTGCTGTTTATAGCATAGATTTACAATGTAGGGATTTTTATAGATCCTGTCTGGATGGCTCATGGATGCTCCAGCAGCAATTGTGGTCTGAAACACTCTTCTATATTGGCCCAATGAGACAAGTGCAACAGTGTTTTTTCCCCAGATGAATAATTTGCTACAGTTATTCATATCTGTCACCTTTAGGCTAGATTATTGTCCTCTATATGTCTACATCTTCCTTCCATGCATCCCTTAAGTTAGCATTGAATGTGTTAGCACATCTTAATATTTCATACCAGGAATGCATAACACTGGTGCTCTGTGATCTGCCTTAACTGTCAGTTTCAGGGTGGTGTCCAAGGCGGTTTTGGGCGACAAAATTTGGTAGTGTAGACAAAGCCTAAGGCACAGGAAGAGATCAGTGCACTGGGATCTAGGTAGGTAACTGGACAAGATCTTCAAGCATATTTTAATAGGAGAACTTTCTGATTATAACCTCTCTATAGCCAAATGACTTAAGAATTCTCAACTGTTTATCGTTTAAAGTGAGTTACCTCAAAACTTGTCCAAGATGATCATAAATCATAATTTAGTTTCAATACTTTAAAACAATCATTTCTACAAACAGTAATCCTCAATTAGACCAAGTTTCCTCATTCCCAAATGAATTTTTCTATATCGGAACAATATTCAATTTTGCAGCTCTCGTTGGCTATGAATAGGAATGAAAACCTTAACATACACATACTTTAGGACAACTAAAAGTATTCAAGGAAAAGACACCCACTCTTAAAAATATTTGCCCTTTCCCAATTTAGGTTATGGACATACCCACCATTTTCAAAGCTCAGCAAATTACTAGATAAAGCATCAGGATAAAAGCTTGTACTGGGCATTGGTACATAATCAAAAATTATCTTTTTCATGTGCATGAAAAGAAATATTCACATGCAATGGAAGAATGCTAATCATTACAACGCAAATATTTAATGGGGTTCTTTTTTGAAGTTCTCATATTAAGTACCTTGTCCATATGACAAATATTTATTCTACTCTGAATGAATTAAAATTCAAATTTTTTAGAGCTAATATAAAGTATGAGTAGTATGTGCATCTAACATTCAATACTGATATTTAATTTTACAGGATTTTATCACTTTAATATGTTCTTTTAAAGTTTATTTATTCATATAATACTTAGTTTGACTCAAATACTTATCTAGTTTTTTAAGCCAAAGGAAAAAAGTGCACACACATCTGAAATAAAACTAGGTTCTATAAACAGAACTGCCAACACATCTTAACAAATTCATACTAAAATGAAATGATTTTATTTATGTTTCTAAGCATTTTTTAAACAAAAATAACATTTATTCTAATGCTAAATTTCTTTAGAGTTCCTTACCTGGATTTTGTTTTCTAAAAATGGGCTGCTGATCTTTTACAAAACGAAAGTAGGCTGTTAAGGGTCGCTTTGGAGGATTATCTGAATTGATCTGTTTTGAAAACCACTTCTCCACTGAGTATGTAGTACTGCATCTTTAACACACGCAAAGTTATCAGATATTAAAAATACATCAATATGTAAACTCAGTTGTAAATTACACTTCAAAATAAATAACGTGACCATTAGTTTACAATTAGGGTGACCAGACAGCAAGTGTGAAAAATCGGGACAGGCAGTGGGGGGTAATAGGAGCCTATATAAGAAAAAGAACCAAAAATCGGGACTGTCCCGATAAAATCGGGACATCTGGTCACCCTATTTACAATCCAGATGTAAGCAGTATTACCAGACTCCAGAATAAGCCCACAACTAACATTTACAGCCCATCATATTCCTGGCCCAAATGCACAGGAGCTCCTCCAGAAACAACTCCGCATCTGTAACCAGGCTTGGGTCAGCCACTTCCCAGGCCACTGAAGTCTACAGTGGTCTACACTATCACCCCCACCCAAGGACACGCTCCCTTCTATGAGCAAAGAGGGCCACATGGGAGAACGGAAGAAGGGAATGATGCGCAGAGGATGCCCGAAGGGTCCTGCAGGAGAGGATGGGACGTGGCGCGGGGGGACACCCGGGGGCGCTGCCCATAGGGGGAAGGCGGAGTGAGGGGACGGGAGGAGGGTGGCTGGGGCAGGATGCAGACAGATGCGCTGGGAGAACCAGGAGCCCCAGGAGACTAGCTCACTCCGAAGTTTCGCCGCTAGCCCCGGGCGGTGCCTTCACCTGAGAACGTGCCGGGCACTGGGAAGAGCGGCCAGGGCCCGGCCCAGCAGCGCGGCCGCCATGGCACCGACACACAAAACAACAGGACGCTCGTCCGGTCAGAGTCGCGCGCGCTGCTGTCGCGGTGCAATGTGGGAAGAAGTGGATCCCGCCTAGATGGAACAGGGCCTCGGGACAGTATAGGCCCCAAAGCGCATGCTCCGAACCGGGGGAGGGGGGGGGAGGAGGAGGATGGCGCATGCACAGGGTGGGGCTGAGCGGGGAGTACGGCGCGCTGCTCCTGTAGCGTCTACCGGGGCCTAGTGGGGAGGCGTAGAGGTGCCCGCGGCGGGGCTGGACCAATAGCGGCTGGGTCCCTCCCCCTCGAGGCTCGGGCTCAGGCTGGCAGCTCAAGCCCCGCTGGCCCGGTTTAGGTGGTAGCAGAGCAAGGTGCCTAGGACGGATCTCAGGACGGCTCCTGCCCCAACGATTTGCGAGCTGGAGGAGAGACAGAGACAGACAAGTGATTTACGGAGCCTTTTCCTATGATGTGTGTGCACTGTGCAGCCTGCCATGCGCTTTCCCTCGCACACACCGTGCCATTTCTTTGACTCGTTTAGCTCCGATTGGAATTGCCCAGGAATAGCTCACGGCTCACATACCAGTTAAAGCAGATATCCCCACTGAAATCAATATATTCTGCCTTTAAACAAAAAGTCGACCCAATGCAGGTATTTGAAGAAACTCACACTGGTGATCGTGGCATTCCTTGGCTTGAAGCCCTTTTATATGCTGGTAGTAAGCATGCGTTAATGCAGGCCTGCACAACTCGTAAAGTGGCGAGGGCCATATTACTCCAAAGAAAACAACTGAGGGCCGAAACCCCCCAAGTGCCGCCAA